CCCCAAAACCCCAAAACCCCAAAACCCCAAAACCCCAAAACCCCAATAGGAACAGAAATTATTGAGAAACCCTTTATTTATCAAATATGAAGACTTTAATCCTTTCTTTCAACATCTTCTACGACAATCTGGGGTTCTCCGTCAGAAAGATCGGCTGTCTTGTAGTCTAGCAGCATTTCAAGGACCTTATAACTTCTTTGGGTAGATTTCATAACGTCATAAGGAATTCCTGATTGAAGGAGAACATTATCGAAGACTTCCTTTAGTAAAAGACTGGCGTTCTCAGAGTCTACCTTTCTAAGTTTATTCAACTTAACCATAACTGGGTGATTTGGATTGACTTCCATTGCTTGGTTCTTGGTGGCAGCTTCAAATTGAGCTTGATCAACCATAGCAAGCATAGCTCTCATTGATGAAGATACTTCTCCAACAATGACAGCTGGAGAAGTCTTCAATCTCTTAGATATAGTAATTTTAGCGATTGTTGGTGCTAGCTCTGACTTAAGCCACAAACTGAATGGAGTAACCTCAGACTCTGGAATTCCCTTAGTAGTATCATGATCTACCTTAGCTCCTAGATCTTGAGCTACTTCATCATAGTTTGACTCAATATTAATGAATTTATATCCTTTGTACTCGTTGACATTCTTCAAACAAACTTCATCGATATGATTTTCTAGAAGAATGACTGGAATATTAGCTTGCTCAAATGGTTCCAAGAATGGGGATGCACCAGCACCTGCCTGACCGCTTGTAACATGGAAATAAATGTTCTTCTGTCCATCCTTCATGCTGTTGCAGTAATCATCAATAGAAATCAATTTATTGTTGTCCTTAGTAGTTTTATATCTAATGATCTTTAGTAATTGCTGGGAGTAGTCTTGATCAGTTGCAAGTCCTTCCTTCAAGAAATTTCCAAATTCAGAATACCACTTGTTGTATTTTTCTGGATCCTTCTTAACCTCGTCTTCGAGAAGCTTGATAACTCTTCTAGTCAGGGCATTCTTGAGTTTTGCCATCAAGTGAGAGTCCTGGTAGTTCTCTCTTGAGATATTAAGAGGAAGATCTTCACAATCAACCACTCCTTTGACAAATCTAAGCCAATGTGGGAGCAGCTCACTACATTTAGATTTGATAAGGACTTTTCTGCAGTAGAGATGCAAGTGGGAAGCTTCCTGCTGCATTCCGAACTTCTCAGTGTTAGTGGATGGAACATATAACAAAGCTTTAATAGCCAATGGAACATCAGTGCTGTAGTGGAGCTGATACTTGAATGGAATTTTAGTATTGGCAATGCTTTCATAGAATTGATCATACTCATCTTCAGTTACTTCTCTCTTGTCTCTGTACCAGATAGCTTGAAGGCTGTTCAATACTTCACCGTTTAATTTAATTGGATAACTAATGAACAAGGAGTGCTTTTTCAAAATATTTTTCACTTCAGTTGGTCTAGAGAAGTTCTTACATTCTGGTCTTAAATAAAGAGTGATTCTAGTTCCTCTCTCGATATCAGATCCTTCAATTTCTGAGATTTCATAGTCTCCTGTTCCATCAGAGATCCATCTGCAAGCTTCTCCAGAGTCGCTCTTTGAAATGACTTCTACTGAATCAGCAACAATGAATGATGAATAAAATCCAACTCCGAATTGTCCAATGATAGATTCTCCTGTAGAAGTATCATCCTCTAGAGCACTAACAAATTGTTGAGATCCAGATTTAGCAATAGTTCCAAGATTATCTATAATCTCTTCCTTGGTCATTCCAATACCGTGGTCAAGAATAGTAACAGTTCTTTCTCTCTCATTAGTGAAAATGCTAATTTCAAGTGGGACATCTCTCATCTCGCTCTTGCCTGTAAGTTCGCTATATCTTTGTTTCTCTAGAGCATCAGAGCAGTTAGACATAAGTTCTCTGAGGAAGACTTCCTTATCAGTGTAAATACTCTTAGCAACGATATCAAGAAGTTTCTTAGTCTCTGCCTTAAACTCTCTCTTTTCAGAGTTAATAGCCTTCAGCTTTGGCTCTTCAGTGTCAAGATTGGCTTGAGCAAATGTCCTCAAGGCAAACTTGTTCAGAGAGTTCTGCCTTAATCCAAACATATGGGACTTCTTGGCGCCTCCAAGGAGCATAGAGAATGCTCTAGGTCTGCTGGAGAGCATATTCTTTGGAAGAGTCTGAAGTGCAGATGACTTGGTCTGCAATTTTCTTAGCAAATGCGTGCCTTTTAACATATTTTAAGATAAATTTATAAAAGTTTGATCCTAAATCTGTATAATAAATTTTCAGCCACAGAACCAATGTATGGGGTTTTGGGGTTTTGGGGTTTTGGGGTTTTGGGGTTTTGGGG